CTCTCTCTCTCTTGTCTAAACCTACAATCACCACAAACGCGAAGGTTCTTGAAAATTCTAAGCCTCGAATCTTCTGGCACATCGATCAACCCATATGCTAATGCAAGTCTCTCGCTGTGGTTCCAAAGATTGTGCTCCTTTTGTTCTCTGTCAGTGTCATGCAAGGAGAACGTTGTGTCTGGCACATAACCTGCTTTTGTAATCATCTTCCTAAGCTCCCCTAATTTCACATGTATCTGCCCAGTCTACGGGTGGCACTGGTCTCCAATGCCAAACGAACTCACTTCATTTTTCAATTTGATCCAACTACAAGCCAGTTGCTTCTTTATGTGATACGATTGCATTTGTCCCCTGACATTCTCTACATGGTCCCATTTTCCATAATTTGCACGGGCATTTGAATAAAGAACATAAGCTGAATCGTCTAATGGATTGGAATGGAGAAGATGCTCGGTGGCTTTCCTTCCCAACACCAAATTTCCATGGATCCTACACGCTGCCAACAAACTTCGCCAGACAAAGTCATTTGGTGGCATGAGCATTTCTGTAATGAAAATTTCAGCCTCAGAAAGCCTTCCTGAACGTCCAAGAAGATCAATAATGCATACACAATGCTCTATTCCAACTGGCACACCAAACTCCTTAGTCATCAAAGCGAAATATGAAAGGCCCTCATCCACAAGACCACCATGACTACAAGCAGATAGAAGAGAGACAAAGGTGACATGGTCAGGCTTCGATCCTAGTCTTAGCATATCATGAAAAGTTTCTTTAGCTTTACGGAAAGAACCATGTCTGGCAAAAGCGGAAATTAATATGTTCCAAGATAATCGTGATCTCATGATAGGTTTAGGAAGCATTTTCAGTGCATCATCCAATTCTCCACACTTTCCATACATATCCATTGTAGCGTTTGTGACATACAAATATGAGTCAAATCCAAGTTTAGTGGCCAGACCATGAAGCTGTTGCCCTTCATCCAAAATAGCCAAGTTTGCAGAAGCAGCAAGTGCTGCAGAAAAGCTGAACTGATCTAAATCTACTCCAGCTCTTTGCATCTCAATAAAGAGTTTTAAAGCATTTTCCCTATCACCATGGCGAGCATTTGCAGCAACCATGGCATTCCATGTCACAGGGTTCTTGCCAAGCAAGCTGCTAAAGATATAGTTACTTGAATTGAGATCACCACACTTAGCATACATTGTGATAAGGGAATTCTTCACATAATCATCTGACTCAAAACCGGTCAGAACTATATTTGCGTGAAGTGGCATTCCACGTATCATTAGGACAGTGGGAGCTGAGAAAGCACCAAGAACATTGACAATGGTGATGTAGTTTGCAGGTATGCATCCTCCTCTCATCAACGTAAAAAACTTCACTGCCTCACCTGGTTCTTCATTTTCAGCATACCCACCAATAAGTGCATTCCAAGTAACCAAGTCTTGCTTGGACATTTTTTGGAAAACCTGTTTAGCTTCACACATCATGCTGCACTTTCCATACATGGTTACCAGTGCATTACCAACAATCAAATTGTCATGGAGGCCAACCGTGATCACAAGCACATGGACAATCTTTCCTTCAACAAGGAATTCAGGGTTCGAGCATGCAGCCAATGCACTAGAAAATGTCACGTAGTTCATTGTTTTTCCAGTCTTACACAATTCAGCCAACACTTTTCAGGCATCTAGGCACTTCCCATCCAGAACATAGCCAGCCATTATGGAATTCCATGATATTAAGTCCCTCTCTGGCATTTCTTGGAACAATTCTTCAGCGTCTTTAGGTCTTCCAGCCTCAGAGCACATAGTAAGAAGAGTGTTACATACACAAACATTTGAATCCAATCCCAATTCAACTACCAGCCCATGAATCCCACTGCCCCACTTCAAATTATCCTTGCTACCACAGACTGCAGAGTGGAAAGTGTGGTTGAATTTATTTCATTATGAACAAGACGCATCAAATGAAAACAACTAAGTGATTCCTTGAAAAGCGCATTATGTGCATAAGCTGAAACCATCGAATTCCATGAAACTGTGTCACATTCAATCATGTGATCAAAGACATAGCAGGCATCTTGTATGCTACAGAAACTGCCAAACATTGAGATGAGAGAGTTTGCAACAGAAACATTAGTCTCATATCCAGTCTTTATAACATGTGCAAGCACTTGATGACCCAGCAACTCATCCTCAAGCAATCCACATGAACTAAATATCGTTGTGAAAGTATTTTGGTTACAACCAACCTGCCTCATTTGTTGATATATATTTAAAACCTCCCTGGAATCTCCAATGTCCAAATATGCAACCATCAATGAACTCCAAGAAACTACATTCGTTTCCGGCATCTCCTCAAAAAGCCTCTTAGCACTAGAAAGAAACCTGTATACGCCATAAAAATGCAGCAACGCAGTGCCCACAAACACATCCCACAACAAGCCAAGTTTGAGTACAAAGCCAAGAATTTGAAATCCTTCACAAACCATATTCACTGACCGACTGCATGCAGCCATCAAACTGGCAATCAAATACCCACTTGGCTCAATTCCTTGACTGCACATTTGGGGAAACAAACTAACTGCATCTGGGTATAAACCCACTCGGACATACCCAGACACCATGGTGTTCCAAGAAGTTCCATTCCTCTCGGGCATTCTATCAAACAAAACAAGTACTGGTCAAGTTTGATTTTTCCAAACTTGCATGTTGATCAATGTATTCATATAAAAAGTGCCGAAATGGGTCGAACCCTTTAACCAAACTCCATGTAATGCTCTCCCAACAATCTCATGGGTGATTTCTGAGAAACCCTTCTAAAGAAAACCCGAGATCTCCTGGTTTGGGTGCTGGGACAGGGAATGAATTCCATGGCCTGTGGTTTCTTCGAGTTAGGGTTTGAAGTGGGTGGGAAGGGAAAATCTCGATGAAGAAGAAGTCGTGGAGAATTTAGAAAGAGAACCAAACATGAGAGAGGATAGATTTTTCTTATAGAATTTAGCCAGCTTTGGTTGCTTTGTTGATGTTTTGTTGTTGCTACCATTGAACTTTGTGAACAAAAATCGCATTTAATTGTTCAAACTTTCAAAAACTTTTTGGAAGAGGATTTGGCTCACTGGTGCTTCAAATTTCTTTTGTTTCTTTACCCAAATCTTTGAATGACTTGACTTCTTCTTTGTCCTCTTCCATTTTAAACTACTAATCTACCAATAGGGAAAAAAATAAAAAAATAATATGTCAAGGTATATTTCTTATTTAACTAGAGCTTGTTTGTTCCTTTCTTCATTGTTGATGTCGCTTACTTAACATATATCGCGGCTTCTTGCAATAATCACAGAATACAGACTCCTTAGCAGCAGACGGCGGGATGGGAGTTAGGCTGAGGCCATCCCGAGGAGTAGACAGTAATGTTGAGCGGTCAGCAGAGACAGGGGACATCATAGCAGACCAACGACTCTCCTCATTCTGTACATATGCAAATGCCTCCTGAAGTGAAGGAAGAGTATCCATACTCAGAACTCGACCCCTAACTGGATCATACTCCACATTTAGGCCGGCCAAAAATTTAAAGACTCGTTCCCGTTAGATGAACTTCTTGTACCCGACAGAATCAGTAGGGCAAACGGGCTTATAGTCTTCCAGGTGGTCAAGGCGTTTCCAGCCGTTGGTGAGGAAAGTGAAGTATTGAAGAACAGTTTGCTCCCCCTGAAGTGAGCTCTCAATAGAGCAGCGCAATTCAAATGCCTGTGAAAAATTCCCTTTGCGGGAATAGGTAACAGCCACAGCCTCCCAAACGTCCTGGGCAGTCTCCATAGACAAGTAGCCCTCACCAAGTTCTGGAACCATCGAATGGATAAGCCAACTCATAATTAAAGAGTTGGTAATCTCCCATTGTTCATAACCTGAGTCAGTGGTACTAGGTGCCTGTATCCTGCCATCAACATATCCTATCTTCCCTCTGCTCTTCAAAAACATAGTCAAACTTTGAGACCATGCTAGGTAGTTTTGACCATTAAATAGAGAGGTGGTGATTTTCAGACTAGGGTTGGGGTTCTCAGTCATGGTAGTAGGTAGAATGGGACTTTCACTCTTTGGTGTTTGAGAAGAAGGGAACACACTGGTGGAATCTGTCATGGATACAATACTACCGAACCCACAACAAAACTAGTAGCAATCACAAACCTAGAAGGTGGTAGTGATATAACAGGCACAATGACCACTATAAAGATATAACAAAATTTAAGAAACCATTTTTTTTTTTTTCCTCCTTCTTTTTTTTTTATATATATTGATTTATTGATGTATATATAAGGATATATACATGGATTTATATATAAATATAAATATATATATATATATATATCTTAGTATTTACAAGTGATTTGTGTTTCCTCATTCCATTTAATTTTCTTTCTGTTTTTTCTTCATATATTAATATTCATCAATTCGGTGCCATTCTTCAATGATGCAATATTGTTAGTTACTCCTGCCCCGCGCTTGAAATTTTCTGTTTGAGCTGTCTGACGCCAACCATTGGGGAATAATCAGTGTCTTTTTGGCAATTATACTCCTTTACTTTTTGGTAAGTTAGCAACTGTATTTCAACCAAGGTGGAGGGGAATCACTGAACTGAAATGAAGTGTGGTATTGTGGAGGATGGTGCTTCAAGGGATCCACATCATTATGAATGTTCACTTGACATTGATGCCAAAGGTCTTTTATTTCTCAAAAAAAGGTTAATAGGTGCACTCTTAAGGTAGAGAAACTCATTTTTAATTTTCTTTTACCAATGAGTATTGAACAGTTTGGAGATTTAATTTCAAAAGTGAAGGTTGAAGCTTGGGTAACCAGCTTAGGGTATGATAGAAGATCACCCCTTATTTATAAATGAAAATTAGGGTTTACAAAGAAAACAATTACAAGATGATCCCTGAGGGCATAAAATGATTACAGACCCTACTGACTTTCGGTAATATAATATGCTAACACTTTCGGCTAATATAATATGCTAACAACTGTGTCACGTTCAATCATGTGATCAAAGACATAGCAGGCATCTTGTATGCTACAGAAACTGCCAAACATTGAGATGAGAGAGTTTGCAAGAGAAACATTAGTCTCATATCCAGTCTTTATAACATGTGCAAGCACTTGATGACCCAGCAACTCATCCTCAAGCAATCCACATGAACTAAATATCGTTGTGAAAGTATTTTGGTTACAACCAACCTGCCTCATTTGTTGATATATATTTAAAACCTCCCTGGAATCTCCAATGTCCAAATATGCAACCATCAATGAACTCCAAGAAACTACATTCGTTTCCGGCATCTCCTCAAAAAGCCTCTTAGCACTAGAAAGAAACCTGTATACGCCATAAAAATGCAGCAACGCAGTGCCCACAAACACATCCCACAACAAGCCAAGTTTGAGTACAAAGCCAAGAATTTGAAATCCTTCACAAACCATATTCATCGACCGACTGCACGCAGCCATCAAACTGGCAATCAAATACCCACTTGGCTCAATTCCTTGACTGCACATTTGGGGAAACAGACTAACTGCATCTGGGTATAAACCCACTCGAACAAACCCGGACACCATGGTGTTCCAAGAAGCTCCATTCCTCTCGGGCATTCTATCAAACAAAACAAGTACTGGTCAAGTTTGATTTTTCCAAACTTGCATGTTGATCAATGTATTCATATAAAAAGTGCCGAAATGGGTCGAACCCTTTAACCAAACTCCATGTAATGCTCTCCCAACAATCTCATGGGTGATTTCTGAGAAACCCTTCTAAAGAAAACCCGAGATCTCCTGGTTTGGGTGCTGGGACAGGGAATGAATTCCATGGCCTGTGGTTTCTTCGAGTTAGGGTTTGAAGTGGGTGGGAAGGGAAAATCTCGATGAAGAAGAAGTTGTGGAGAATTCAGAAAGAGAACCAAACGTGAGAGAAGATAGATTTTTCTTATAGAATCTAGCCAGCTTTGGTTGCTTTGTTGATGTTCTTGTTGTTGCTACCGTTGAACTTTGTGAACAAAAATCGCATTTAATTGTTCAAACTTTCAAAAACTTTTTGGAAGAGGATTTGGCTCACTGGTGCTTCAAATTTCTTTTGTTTCTTTACCCAAATCTTTGAATGACTTGACTTCTTCTTTGTCCTCTTCCATTTTAAACTACTAATCTACCAATAGGGAAAAAAATAAAAAAATAATATGTCAAGGTATATTTCTTATTTAACTAGAGCTTGTTTGTTCCTTTCTTCATTGTTGATGTCGCTTACTTAACATATATGTAGGCACACCCACAAGCGCAATCATATAGAATCAGAATGCTGCCAAATTATAAAGATTTGGGATTCATATTTGGAGATGCAATCAACGGTGGGATTCAAAGTGATTCATGTCAGGAGAAAGAGCTTGAAGATGATACCTCAGGGATAAAGGCTGGTGTGTTTGAATTTTGCATTACCAAGTTGGGACTTCTTATAATTTATCATAAACAATGTTGTAATTATTTTGTTTCTGCTAGTGATGGTACGGGTTATCTTTTTATTTATCTAGTACTCCATGATGTTGAATGGTCACAATTTAAGATTTGGTTCTGATCTAGGGGCTAACAATCTCTTGTAAAGTTCATGAGAAGTTGTGGTCAAGTGAGGATGTGGGTGTTTGGTTTGGTTATTGTTTGATATTTTATTGTAATGGGAATGGACTTGCCTGAGGCAATTGACATTGAAATTGTCTGGTTTTGATTGTTGATGATGAACTAGGTTTTTTGCTTAAGCTAATGGCCTTTGACCAAGAGTCCTTTTAGTGCTATTTTACCCACCTCTCTTCCTTCCATTTTTTGTGTGTTTCTAGACTCTTCAGCTTTCCCCTTTGTGATTTGTTTCTCATTCAATGCAGGTTAGTCATTCCCTTCTCCCCTCCCCGGGTGCTTCTTTTTCCTATTCGTCTTTTTAATTGCTTTTGCAATTACAATTTGCAGTCATTCCAGTTCCCTGAGTTAACATGTCAGAAACTAAGCTCAATACATGGGTAGCCCATATTAACTAGGTTTAAACATTGATAACTAGAAATAGTTGAGTCGGTAGAGGCTTATTGCATGATTCACCTAACCCAGCTGAGCTAATAAATGCTGCAAAATTTTAGTTGTCAAGCTAAGAATGGTTATGCAGTGTCAAAAGGTCATCATTGATTTACTACTGTACTTTTTCCTTGTAAACCTAAAATCTTTTATGAAAGAAGGGCTAGTCTGACAAACAGGATGTTGTTTTTGTAGGTAGTGAATGTTCAAGAACATATTGGACACCACCTATGGACCGTTGCCTCATTGACTTGTTGCTAGACCAGGTCCATAAAGGGAATAAAATTGGGCAGACATTCATTAGCCAAGCTTGGAATGACATGGTTGCATCATTCAATGCCAAATTCAAATCTCATTATGACAGAGATGTCTTGAAGAATCGATACAAACATTTGAGAAGGCAGTACAATGATGTTAAGGTTCTTCTTGAGCATAATGGGTTTTCTTGGGATGAAACACGAGAAATGGTGACAGCTGAAGATCATGTTTGGGATACTTATACCACAGTAAACTTCTTTCTATTCACTCATTTATGTCATTCTGCTTATATCCAAGTTTTATGAGTGTTTTTCATGCAGGCACATCCTGATACTCGATCATACATAGTTAAAACTGTGCCAAGTTATCATAAATTGTGCGCTATATAGGGACAAGACACATCTGATGGAAAATACAGCCGTTTGGCTCGCAATGTAGACCCAGACGGTGAAGTTCCTCTTCTGATGATAGGTATGTTCCATCAATTGGTTGTGACAAGTTGATCAAATATTCTATAATAGATAGGGAAAAGAATATTCTGTTTCGGTGTGTCTGCACACTTGTTTCTTTCTTGTGGTAAAACTGGAAAGGTGCAACTTTTAGACATGAACTTTGTATAAGACAAAAATGAATACTGTTTACTATAAAAGCAAGTATGAATTTCAATTTGTGTGATTTATGAGATACGTAGAATTTGCTTGAATATTGTTTTTAGTAAAACACACGTCTTAGTTAAGACTTGCAGCCTGCCTTTCAAGTCTAATTGCTGGTGCCATAGTACTTCTTGAATCTTGTCCCCTCACATAACTCCTCTACTTGGAATCAAGATCATTTATTGCTAAAATTTCAGACAGATATTATCCTACGGTTTTTTATGCTTGGAAAAGAGAAATATTAGCCCTGTTTGGTAGAGCTGTGGGAAAGTGCTTATAACTTATGCCTAAACAGTTTATAGCTTATAACAATGAACATAAGCTGATTTTTGACTTATAAATTAAGTATCTCCTGCCCCACTCAAAGAATAAGCTGATTTCTGACTTCCAAAAAGTTATAAGTTATAAGATATAAGCTAAACCAAACACATCAAAATAGCTTAAATTAAGCTAAAAGCTGAAATAAGCAGCTTTTAAGCTTTGTATAAGACAAAAATGAATACTGTTTACTATAAAAGCGAGTATGAATTTCAATTTGTGTGATTTATGAGATACGTAGAATTTGCTTGAATATTGTTTTTAGTAAAACACCCGTCTTAGTTAAGACTTGCAGCCTGCCTTTCAAGTCTAATTGCTGGTGCCATAGTACTTCTTGAATCTTGTCCCCTCACATAACTCCTCTACTTGGAATCAAGATCATTTATTGCTAAAATTTCAGACAGATATTATCCTACGGTTTTTTATGCTTGGAAAAGAGAAATATTAGCCCTGTTTGGTAGAGCTGTGGGAAAGTGCTTATAACTTATGCCTAAACAGTTTATAGCTTATAACTATGAACATAAGCTGATTTTTGACTTATAAATTAAGTATCTCCTGTCCCACTCAAAGAATAAGCTGATTTCTGACTTCCAAAAAGTTATAAGTTATAAGCTATAAGCTAAACCAAACACATCAAAATAGCTTAAATTAAGCTGAAAGCTGAAATAAGCAACTTTTAAGCTGCACCAAACAGGCACATTTAAGAAAAGCAGTAGATTCATCAAATTATGATGTTTTCTGGTACAGAAATTGGGACAGATTTTGATCAAGACAATTAAATCTTGTCAAAGAAATTTTTAGGAATCACTAGGTTGGGATCCAATCACGTAATCCCTAAAATGCAGCTAAAAACTTCCATAATTTCATCTCCATTGAACTAAATGAGTTTATAGATGTATATGCTCATATTTCTCTATAGATTCTACTAGAACAAGGACTATCAAAGTAAAATTTTAATGAATGAAACTATTTTTTTATTTTTGATAGATAAAGTATGGATGTTCATTTATAGGGATTCAAGAAAGGAGTCACCCAAGCAAACTAGACATATACACCAAGAAAGAAATCCAAAACACAACTAGAGCCACTATGCAAAATGGATCACACCAAAGAATCAAACTAAAGGAAGACTCATGAAAATTCTCTTTAAGCTAAAAATGAAAACAAGAAATTGAAGATATTCTATAAATGGCCATCCCTATATCTTCGAAAGTGCTTCTATTCCTTTCTCTTTCCAACCACGCTACATCAAGCACATAGGCACTACCATCCACGCCTTTTGTAAACTCTTTAAATGATTCCCATGTGCCCAACTTTATTAGAACTCCACTAAGGCCTCATTTGGCAAGTGGTGATTTTAGCCAAAAAGTCACTAAAAAAATCAAAAAGCCAACAACCTATACAAAAAAGTCAAAGATTCCTTTTTCTCTCTACTTTTTGCACATCTTTTCGTAAAAAATCAAAAAGTCATCCCAAACATACTAGTTTTTTTACATCATATTTTAGCCAAAAAGCCAAAAAATTACAAAAAAAAAAAAAAGCTTGTTCTCAAACGAGGCCTAAGGCTAGCATCATCCATGCTACTCCAAAAATCACAAATAATAAATTAACAATACTAAAATGAGACTACTGAATCAACTAATCACCAATATAAATCTTGGTTGTTAAAATCCTAATCCAAATCCAATGATTTTATGATTCATTTGGCCAAAATTGATCCCGATCATGTAGAAAATCCCTAATAAGTAGGATCTTTCGATCCTGATAGTTGGATCTTGTTAGGTTGTGGAATCTCAATTCAGGTATGATGCTACTAATCTAATTATTGAGCCTTGTTTTGCATTGTATGTGGCTTCTTTTTTCTTAATTTTGATGTTTGTGGCCTATATACAAATTTGACACTGCCAAAATGGGGAAAAAAAAAAAGGGGAAAAAAAAAAAGGACTCATATTGGATTAAATAGGCTAACAAAAAAAGTTTATTGAATTAAAGTCATTTCTAATTTTGAAGAACGAGAGATTAATAGGCTGTTACATGGCCTCGGATATGGGATTAGATGTGGATATGTTTCTAAAGTGTAGGATTCATTTAATTCTCATGTTAAAGACAACAGGACATGACTCTATTTCATATTTCTTAAAGACTACTTTTATGTTTCAAGGATAAATTGATGTTTACAAACTTAAATACATTTTATATTTAAAATGCAAGTCTTATGCATAGTTATATAGTAAACTTGGTTGCTCATACATACTTGCTGGATGCATGACCAATTAGGCATATTGGACACGTATCACATATTGTTACCCAACACAAATGTAACATGTAGTTAATAGGCATAAATATGCATTGTTTTGTTATCATTGAATCTCCCAAGTTATTTTATTCAAACTTGTAATGTGTTTAATGTGTCATGTATCTCCCAAATGTATGAAGTGTTTGCAGGTCTAAAAAATTTAAGAAAATAATAGGAAACTCTTGGACTTATGTCCAACACACATCCAAATATGTACTAATATTTTTAAATTTTAAAAGTGTTTGTGCTTCTTAATCTTAGGTTACATGTGAATCACCATTGCAACAATTTTAAAGACAATGCCAAGCAACTAAGGAACACTAATAGGTAAATTTTAAAAATGTTTGTTGCTAGCCTTATATCTTCTCAAGTTTAGAGCAGTAACAACAGAGTAAGGTGCATCATCTTCATCTTCCTCGATTTTAACAATTGTCCCTACCGTGGTTTGCCCCAATATTAGGTCCACAAAACCACTTATGCCACTAGTTCTGGACACAAAGTTGTGAGGATTTGTTGGGCTCAATCACAGTGTTACCACTTGGATCATGAATAGAGATTCGACATTACATTTGATGTAGGATGGCTAACCAGAAGAAAACAAATGCGGAGAAAAACGAAAACCACACCCAAAGAAATTAAAATAAACCCTAAAATCTCAATCTCAATATCGCAATTTCATAATCCAAGCTGAATAACCCTAAACACAGGCACGGGAAGAGCAAAGAGAGAGAGAGCTACGTACCACCAGCGAAGAGCAGCGCCGGTGACGAGCGAAGAGCGGCGGCGGTGGCGCGGTGGCAGCAAGGCTGGTGGCGCCGATCGGGGAGACGAAAAGCAACAGAGATGGATGAAATGAGATGGATTGGGGTTGTGAATTAGGTTTAATAAGAATTGATTGTTTGTGTACAATATTGATAGATTTAACAGATATGACAGGGAGCTCTAATATAGCTGCTCTAAAAAGCATTTTTACTGTGCTGGCGAGAAGGAAAAAATAAAATGTAATGATTTGGAGTAATAATTTTGATGTTTAATGATATGGTAAGAAAAAAAAAATTAAGATTAAAATATCACATCACAGTAAGTGGGATTAATTGTCAACTCATTAGAGCTAATTTTAGAGCTTAAGAATTAAAATTTCAAAATATTTTTCAAAAACAAAATACAACAAAAAAATATAATAATAAATTAATATTATTTTAGAGCTCTAAAACATTTTTCTAGATTTAATATATAATTTGGTATATATAATAACGAGGAAGCTCATTTTTTGATTTTTGATGGGACTTTTGTGTATTTGTCAAAATCTGCACCCTCAGATTGATTCAATCCAATGGTTGAGTTTGAAAACAAGTCAGAGTTTGAAAATGTGTTATTCAATTTGGATGGTGCAAAACGGCTGAGATCACTTCCCCCCTCTCAAATGCTCTTTCTATCTCCTCTTTCATCTTTGCCCAAATCCTTGCTCTTTCTCATTTCGGAGAAATCCTCCCTCTTTCATACGCTCTTCTCTCTCTCCCTCTCCTTTCACGACAACATCGCCACTCACTGACTGCCGACCACCTCTCCTCGCCTCTTGCTGTCCTCTCTTCTCTCGACCACCCACCACCGACTCTCTTCTCTGGCTCTCCTATTTCGCCTCTCTCCTCTTGTGACGGCATCGCAGCCATTCAGAGGTAAAGACCACCGACCACTAACTCTCTTCTCTCGCCCACCTGTTTTGTCTCTCTTCTCTTGCGACGGCATCGCAGCCATTCAAAGATAAACTACAACTTACAAATTTGCAATCCATGAAATTTTTGTCGGTTTCTCTCCTCTTGGATTTGGGTTACAGTACTGTTCATGGGTTTTGGTTATTTTTTGAGGATTTTTATTGGGTTTTAGAGATTTTGGACTCTATATGCATTTTTGGTTCTTGCTTGAATTTGGTGATGGGTTCTAATTGTTTAGTTTAAATTGTTCAAAATTTGAATTATTTTTCCATATCTGAGCATTTAATCAGATTTTTCCATATGACTTAATAGGCCTCTATGGATGGGTTTTGTAAATTGGTGCTAACATTTACCCAAAAACAGGGCATGTATCCTTCCTTGGTATGATGTCTTCCTTTATATCTTTCACTAGGATTGTGTGTAAATGAGTTTTGTTGAATGGAGTGATATGCATGGATGTGTTGAATGGAGTGATATGCATGGATGTGTTGAATGGTTAAGTCTCAGCACATTCTCTGGCCAATAGTTAGTGTTTTGATGTGTCATTATTGTTTTCATGCTTATTATCTCAGTAACACACAACTCATCCATAGTGGTTAAAAACAGAGCTTCCTTGGCTAGGGAAAAAGATGTGTCCTTATTAGTGGTTAATTATGCCCATTATGACATGGATGAGTTTTGTAAATTGGTGCTAACATTTACCCAAAAACAGGGCATGTATCCTTCCTTGGTATGATGTCTTCCTTTATATCTTTCACTAGGATTGTGTGTAAATGAGTTTTGTTGAATGGAGTGATATGCATGGATGTGTTGAATGGAGTGATATGCATGGATGTGTTGAATGGAGTGATATGCATGGATGTGTTGAATGGTTAAGTCTCAGCACATTCTCTGGCCAATAGTTAGTGTTTTGATGTGTCATTATTGTTTTCATGCTTATTATCTCAGTAACATACAACTCATCCATAGTGGTTAAAAACAGAGCTTCCTTGGCCAGGGAAAAAGATGTGTCCTTATTAGTGGTTAATTATGCCCATTATGACATGGATGAGTTTTGTAAATTGGTGCTAACATTTACCCACAAACAGGGTAAATGTTGTTTATTTATTTTCTTTGTTGTTTTCTCTCATATTAATCTACAAATTGGACAGTTTTTTGCCAATAAAGGGCTGTGTTTGTGTTTGTGTTTGTGTTTCTGTTTTACCATAGGAAACAAAACCAATTTTAAACCCTTAGGTCATGTTTGATTCACAAGACTAATAGTGAAGTATTAATAATCCTATTAAATTAGTGTAGTATTCACTATCCAATTGGATTAATATCCATTAGATTAATGATCCCACCCCTACTTCATTACTAATAATCCTACAAATTTGTTGGATTAATTATCTATTGGATTAATAATCCTAAACCAAAATGTTAAAACAAACATAGGATAACTGGATCCACAGATTAATAATCTCAATCTCATGCTCTAATCCACCCAATCAAACATGCCCCTAGTTTGTTGTCAGATTTTTTGATATTATCTTAGTTTCTTTGTTCATCTTAGTGCCTTAAACATTTTTTTTTTGTTCATCTTAGTTTGTTGTTTTGTTTTCTTTGTTCATCTTAGTTTATTGTTTTCTCTTATCTTAGTTTATGGGGATTAATCAAACAAATATTTGAAAATATTTGGGTCAGACAGTTTTTGTTTTTGTGTTTATAAGGGTTTGAAAATATTTCTATCTTTTTTTTTTTTTTGGGTGAATAAGTCATAAAATATGTAAGCACAAAAAACTCAATTAAGTCACAAAAAACTGACAGAAATACTGGGGGCAACCACAAGAAGTTATCAATGTATCACAAACAAAATTGTCGATGAGACCATATGTAAGCAAAGTTTGTTTACAAACTGTTACAAACTGCCATGAAAGAGCTGTAGCAAAAACTTAGTATGAGCTTATAAAAAGATTGCATTTTTGTTAACAGCAGCCATTCTTTGTATCAAAACTCTTCCAACAGTCAAAATACCCAGCAGCCATTCTTTGCATCAATAGTCTTCCAACAGTCAAAATACCCTGTCCATTATTGTATTTTGCTGCATACTGGTTGTTTACGGTTGAATATTAATTCATTTCTACCAAGCCAAAGAGTCCAAATTTTTTGGTTTTCGATTGGCTCAAAATTGTTACTCTAATTTTTTGAGATGTCTTTTGTTTTGCTATTTTTTTGGATTTTTTTTGGATGTCTTTTGTTTTGCTATCATGGATTCTATTATTTGGCAGCCTATAAATCTTGAGCCAATCGACAACCTAATATCCACTTTAGTGGCAGTATAGAAAGTGTTTGGTCAATTAAGTATATGTCCTCCTTAAACGCGTTTCAAGTTCTACACCAATCTCAAATAATTTTATATAGATTTATAGTGTGGTAGTGGTGCAATTGATTTTGATGAGTTTGTGCATATGATGACAACCAAGATTGGAGAAAGGGACACTAAAGAAGAGCTTACGAAAGCATTCCACATTATCGACCAAGATAAAAATGTGTGAAAATATGATTATGCTTGCCTTATTTTGTCCTTTATTTTTTTTACTAATTGTTTTTTTGTCATTTGAATATAGGGAACAATATCTACCACAGACATTCAACGAATTGTGAAGGAGCTGGGCGAGAGCTTTACTGACAAGAAGATTCAAGAGATGATTGAGGAAGTTGATCGTGATCGTAAGTTCGCCTCTTTTTATTATGATTTGCATTATTCTTTATGCTGCGTGCTTCAGATATTTGTTTGAACCTCCAGACACACTATATTTTAGAATTGTTTTGTTAGTGCCACTATTAAACTTTTTTTCCCTTTTTTATGTGATCTACGTTCATTGTTGAACTGAAGTTTCTACTATGTAAACTGGCCATTTTTGTTAGAGTGGCTTTCAAAAATAGCAATTTACATATGCTGAATTGATTCACACAGTTGCACTAGCCTAAATATTTCTTTAATAGAATTATTAGTTGCGTAATAACTAACTTCATTGCTAACCTTCTTCCCTTTATTAGTTGCCCTTTCGATGCTCTACTCTTTCTAAACTATGAATTCAATTAAATGACATTGCCAACCACTGTCACACCAAGGATTACCATCGCAATCACTAGCATCTCCACGTCATCATTACATGCTGATGATTATATTCAAGCATCATTAACCCAACACCAGTTAAAATCTTCATTATTGACCAAATAAGCCTCTCTCTCTCTCTCTCATGTGTACAATCGCAATTAAGCATGCACTTCTGGGCACAGTAGTTGATGAAACAAAAATATTAATGAAATATCCATTGGTTCCTAATACATAAATCTAAAAAGATTGCCTATTCAAGAAAAGAAAATAACATTGTGAATTCTATATAATTCCAGAAACAACAGTGTAAATGGGAGATTTATAGAGAAAGAAATATTTGAGATTGAAGTTTATGTGTTTAATATGTGTATGATAATGATATGCCGGCTTTTGGATTTTTTTTTTGTGAATACTTTTATTTTCTTTTTTTCTTTGTTTTGGCTTTTCTGGCTGTTTGATTATTGAAAAAAATAGAGGATAATTTCATAGTTTCTGAAATTGTGAGATTGGGTTTTACTTGGTTGAGTTTGACTTGATGAATTTGATGGGACTTTTTGTCTTACATGTCAAAATGTGGACCATTAAATTGAATCATAGGCTAAGATTTTATATTCTAATCCAACGGTTCAAATTTTATCTCTCTTTTTGTTTTTGTTTTTTTTTCCCAAAAATGAAAAAATCTTGGAAAGACAATTCTTAGATCTTTTTAAGGTTAGTAATTCAATCTATATGGGAATATCATTTTCAGGTGCAGGAAGCATGCCACCTCCAAGGACATAGCTGGGAGGCTAGTGGCGGACATAGTTTTGTCGTTTTACTGTTGATGTATTACATGTAATTTTAAGCCAAGGGCTTAATGTGTAAACGAGTTAGAACTCTTTGTTGTATCCAAGTGTTAACTTGGAAAGCTGTAAGCCCGTAGGGCATTTTGTTATGAGGTTAACATGTAATACTTATGTAATGGAACTCTAATGAATGAAAGAATGTGGTTAGTTTATATGTAAATGCATGTCTTATCTGATGGGTTTATTGTTATTATTTTGAGGGCGTTACATTAGTAATTCAATTCTCATAATATTTTCTTATGTAGACTGAAATATTTCTTTCTCATGTCT